AAAAAAAAAAAAAAAAAAAAAAAAAAAAAGCAGCGGACACGAACTAAACAGGGAACCTGCAAGATCTGAAGATCTACTTCCGTGCAGTGCTTCTTCACTGGATGGAAGGCTATGTGTTTCCACCACTAAGGTCTAAGTTCAAAGTTGCCTTTTCCCCATGAGGTGAGAGATGGGGACCCAGACTACCTGGAACTGGTTTCTTTATAGAGTTGGGGACATTGTTGTGACTCTGGTCCAGCGCTTCCCTTCCTGAACAGTGACGGACCTGGAATCAGAGGTCGAATGTGGATGGGGTAATTCCCCTCCCCCAGGTAGCTGGGCCCATCCCCTCCCTTCTCTCTTCTGCTTAACTGTAAGGAATTCAAGATTTTGGCTCAAAAAACAGCCTACTGCAGACGCTCAGTGAGAAGGATTCACCCAGAGAGCGCTAAGCAGAGGAAGCAGAATGGAGGGCCAGCAGGGCCACGGGGGCACCCGGGAGCCTGGAAGACCCATCCAGGGAGGACGTGTGGCAGATGCGAGGCCTTGACTGGCCTTTCTGGTGGGGTGAAATGGAAACCACCCTGGGAATGCCTTTACACCATCAAAACCAGCCTCTTCGGAGTCCTTTTCCTCTGAAGGAAAGTGTGTGTGTCTGGAACATTTGTACTCAAACTCCTTCCTGACTGCTTTTCAATTTGTTTGGAGAACATAAACACGACCCAGGAGACTTCTAGAAAAGGCTCTGTGACCTTGGGTGAGGGACAGACAGCAGACAAGGGTGGGGTGGGAAGAAAGCCCAGCAGGGGGCAACAGTTTGCTTTCCCACCACCTCTGTGTCCCGAGTTCTTGAACCCTGACTCCCTCTCTCTACTCAGGAGAAGCAAGGGTGGGCCTGGACTTCCCCAGGAAGGGGTTTGGGGCTCCCCCTCATTCTTGGAGCAAACTGAATGACAGAGATGGTGGTCCACCTGGTGAGCCAAAGGCCCCACCAAGCTAGCTGGTACTCTGAAGAGGAAGCGGAAGGAGACATGAGTGTCCAGCAGCCTTGCAGTGACCTGAGGCGAGGGAGGGAAGGGTCACCCCAGTGCTCAGGCAACACCAGTGAATGGCAGCAGAGCAGCACTCGTTCCTTCTTTGCTTCGGTAAGGTAGGGACATTCTGAAGAGGGAGGCCTGGGAAGGCAGAGGTGGGCGGCTAGAAAGAGGCTCCTAATGTCCTGTGACTCTGCTGCTGGCACCCAGGGGCCCAAGGCAGGCAGGCTGGGGCGCAGCAGAGGGGAGGCTGGCTCGTGGGCTGGCTCCACCTCCCAGGCAGTGAGGAGGTGGTGGCAGCTGGAGGCAGGTCCCTGGGCATGTGCTTTTTGTTCTAAAACATTCTGGTTCCTGAGCACCCGGTTCCTGGCCAGGCATGAGGCTGGCATTTCTCTGGCTTGAACCTCATGGCGAGCTGCAAAAACAAGGATGCTGCAGGCACATCGTCGGGGGCATGGAGCCAGGAACTCAGCTCCCTCCTCCTCGCCTGGCCATGTTACTCCCTACACTGCATGCCAGAGGATGGGCCCAAGCTTACCTCACCGGCCTGAGCAAAAGCTTCCTGGAGGCTCTGCCCCTGTGCTGAAGAGCCTATGTCAGAGGACCACAGGGAAGAGGGACTCAGGCTAGGACTGGAGCACCGTGGTAGAGGGCCTGGCCACCTTGTGCAAGGCCTGGGTTCAGCCTCTCCCACCCCGGATATCTCTTCTGCCTTTCTGGGTTGCATAAAAATTGTGTAACCTTACGGGGAGAAGCAATGTTGCACATGTTTTGGGGGCCACAGACTTAGGAACCTGTCACTGGTCCACCCCAGAACTGCTGGTCTCTGGAGCCACTCGGGTACGGGGCTTGGTCACACCTTCCCATGCCATTTGTGAGGTCCACACCATAGCACCCTTCCTCTGGCAGTGCTTCTCAGGCCACTGGAGAATCCACTGGAGAGGTTTCTGTGCCTCTCACTTCTGGTTTAGTAACTGGCAGTCGGAATGGGATGCTACCTGGGTAGGGTGAGCTGAGGTGGACACATGTGGGTACCTGCACGACTATCCCTGTACATACATGATGCTTGTGTGTCCTCTCAGCCAGCTGTTTCTCATCATGGGAGGATTTCTATTTTGGATAGAAAACGGTCTATGGATTCTGCAATGGTGGCTTCCCGTGTCACTCACCTCTAGGAGCTGAACATGGAAATGAACCATGAGACCCGAGGGCCTTACTTCGCTCAGGGTTGATGTTAGAATGCTTTAAAACTAAGCAGGAGCGTGGTCAGCAAAGGACCAGGATGTGGTGCTAGGATACAGTCGGTGGCACCTCTGCTATCTGTGCATCTCTTGCCACGGCTGTGGCTCGAGGCAGTAGGGGGCCCCCTGGAGCAGACCAACGGGACTCCACTTGGACAGGGAGGGGACAGGCCCTGGCCTCTGGGTTGGTGCCATGACATTTCTGTGCTGAAGGGAATGGAGGGGAAACACTCATATAGCTTTCAGGCCATGGTAGGCATGGGATAAGTCATTTGGGAAAATATTATATTATAAACACATCTAATAATATGTACAGACTCATATACACCCCAAAGCGAAGCCTCACAAGGAATTCCATTTCTTTTCAAAAGAAGGCTCCATTTATGATAAAGCATTCCTTCAGTGAGAATTAACTACAATGAAATAATTTAAGAACTTCATTTATACTCTAGCTGTGTTCTCTACATAAAGTTTACGGTCAAGGCTACGTGGAGGTGAATGTGAATAGTGGATTAGATGCTAATGTAGTCTTCAAAAATAGGCAACGACTTTTTTTTTCCTCTATTCACATTTAAAATAACTACACAGTGACAGAAAGCAGAATTAAAACCCGAACGGCAGGGCCATGAAAGTGGCTGCGGGCTCAGGCTGGGGCTGTTGCATACTGGCCAGTTCCACTGAGCTTACTTAGGATTAGAAATCTCCATCCGATGCTTACCCACATATAAATCCTGTGTAAAGCTTTTACTCTTTCCCCATCTACTTTAATTTTTTTTTTTAAAAAGTGAAAGAAGAGGAAAAACTCTTACAAAATATAAGGTTCAATATACAGGAGCAAGGACCTTCTCAGGGGGCTGCTGGAAAAACGTGGCTCTGTGGCCCTGCACTGCGCCAGCCCCAGGTCCTCAGCTTCCACTGCGACAACCCTTGTACCCTTGTCTCGTGCCATGGCTGCTAGGTGAAGCTGCCCTTTCCCTTTGTGGTTTGGTTTCCTGTTTGCCCGCCTGGCAGTGGTGGCCCTGATGAGGGCGGGCCAGGTGCCACGCGTTCCAGGGCTGGGCTGGGCCTCAGCCCCTGCACCTGCTTCTCGGCGCCCCTGCAGAGCACCTGCTTCCAGTATTCACAGGGTCACCCCACCCCGCCTGCGCCCCTCACCCCTGGTTAGCAGAAATCTAAATCATGCCTTCGAGAATGAAAATTCACATGCTCCTTCCCCCTTTGCACAATGCTTCCATATCATTCTTTTTTTCTTTCTCCATTTTAATAAGCAAATTGTACCGCCATCTTATCTTGATACACTCCTTTTTAAAAGCTGTATATCACATTAATGGAAGTGTTTACTGCTGGGAATATTTTCCATGTACAATGATCTGTAACCCCCTTATCTCAACTAGTTGCACGTTATTAGTTCACATCCAGTTCAATTTATGAATTAGCAGAAGTGCCATTTGTCTGTACAAAAATCAATGCATATTTATGAACTTCTTTTATTTAAACAGATTTTCCGAAGCCTGGTCATGCAGGCCGTGTGGCCCTGGAGTGACTGAGGGCCCAGCGCACCCGCCTTGACCAGAGCACTGAACATCTTTCTTACAGTCAGAAAAAACAGGCTTTTCTGTGTTCACTTCCTTTACCAAATGCACCCGAGAAGCTGGTACCAGCTGAATTTGCGATTTCTTTCTGAATTTCCAAGTTATACTTATTTATTTTTTCCATTTTGTTTTTGCACCAAGGAGACTGCAGTCAAATAATACTCAGCAACTGATTTCCTCTCTTTGGACTGAAAAATTAAACAGATACTAAATTATGACAGTGAATTTAGAAAGGAGGGCTCCAAGGGCTTGAAAGAACATGTCTGGGATAATATGATGCTTCTAAGAGCATTGCAATCACATCGCGGCAATCACCGGAGCGTGCCGCGTAACTACCTCCTCGGCTAATATGCTTTCTTCTCGGTGATGACTAATCATGTTCTATTAAACAGCGGTAATGCTGGAAGAACTCAACTATACAAGTGTAATGAAGCCAGTATTCTCCCTGGACAGATTAGCTACAACTGATTTGACACATACCATCATAGGGGCTTCAAACCTGACAAACTCTGTGCTTGCTCCTGATTTATGCCGTCAAGCTCCTCGGAGAAGAGATGAGATCCAAGTGCTCCGTTTGGTAGAGGTGAAACGTACTCATGTGCTTAACTGCCAGTTAGGGAGCGCTGCCCCTCTCCTCAGCCGCGCCCGAGCCCCTCCCCGTCGCGTCCCTGGCCCTTGAGCCCGCTCTGCCTCCAGGCCACCTGGATGGGTCCCGTGCCATGTGCTATCATCAAGCCACCCAGGCCCGCCGGCCTGTCCCGGGCACTCTGGCAGAGTCTGTGAAAAGGAAGCGCTTCTGCGGCCTCCTGGCCTCCTCTTCACCCCTCAGGGAGGGCCGGGTTTGGAGATTTCATGTGGGGTGAGTGGGCAGGTGGGCAGGAGGTGACCACCGGAAGGAGGGAGGGGATGTGACAGGACTCACGTGCCGTGACTCCCGAGGGCCACGTGTCCCGGGCGTGCACGCTCTCAGATGATGCTGGGTACCCTCCCGCTGCTGTTGTTCCGGTTGTTGTTTTTCCGGGACAGGTTAGGGGTGGCCATGAGCACGAAGCGCTCGTCGGGACAGCCGTACTGCAGCAGCACCTCGATGCACTCCTGGCTGGACGCCTGGCGGGCGTACGCCAGTGCCGTGTTCCCCTGTGCGTCGCGGGCCATGACATCCACCCCGTACTGCAGGGGCGACAAGGGCATGTCAGCATCCCTGGATGTCGGGGGGAGGGGCAGGGCCCCAGGAATGGGGGTGGAGCAGTTGGGTAGGGCCCAGGGACTGGCAAGGGCTGGTGGCTGCTAGGCCTGGAAGCACCCTTGCACCCAGAGCCCTGGTGCCACGCAAAAGGAAAGTGGCAGGGAGAACTTCAGGTTTTGCTACTTCTATTT